ATTCAAGGCCAGTCACTGGGTGAGTGTATTTCTAACTTTTCCTACATTTCTTTCTCTTTCAACCTTGAGCTCTGCTCCCATGGAGTAATTCCACATTACTGCTTTCTTTTCCATTTTTGCTATCAACGTAAACTCCTTTGAAAGGTTGTCTAATATCTGGTGAGAATGCTTTATTTTAAAATATCATTTATAAACTTTGGGGACCATATTTGTCCTAGGCGTGACTGGTGTAACATGGTGTCCTGGTTTCAGCTGGGATAGGGTTAATTTTCTTCCTAGTAGCAGGCATAGTGCTGGGTTTTGGATTTAGTAGGAGAAGAATGTTGATAACACGCTGATGTTTTAGTTGTTGCTAAGTACTGCTTACCGCTAGTCAAGGACTTTTCAGCTTCCCATGATCTACCAGGTGCACAAGAAGCTGGGAGGGGGCACAGCCAGGACAGCTGACCCAAACTGCCTAGAGGGCTATTCCATACCATATGGCGTCATGCTCAGTATGTAAACTGGGGGGAGTTGGCTGGGGGGCAGTGATCGCTGCTTGGGAACTGGCTGGGCATTGGTCAGTGGGTGGTGAGCAATTGCATTGTGCATCACTTATTTTGTATATTATTATTATTATCATTATTATTTTCCCTTCCTTTTCTGTCCTATGAAACTGTCTTTATCTCAACCCACAAATTTTACTTTTTTTTTTTTTCCTTTTTCTGATTCTCTCCCCCTTCCCGCTGGGGAGCAGGGGGCAGTGAGCGAACAGCTGTGTGGTGTTTAGCTGCCTGCCAGGTTAAACCACAACATCTGGTCACTGTGCAAATGTAATACAAGATGTTCTTATTTTGGTTTTGTACTTGTTTTTAATTAACGGACAGAAACTGCTGACCCTGTAGTGTGTCCATAAAAAGATTCCAGCGAAGGCTTCTCATGGCATGAGCCACAAAGAGGTGTGAAGGATGTATAAATGGGGGACAGACTCTTTTCTTTAATCTTTAACTGCTCGGCAGATTCTTGATAGAATAGGTTCAGAGGAAATAATATACTGTAACTGACCCAATACCTTGGCTCTCCACTATGGCCAGCAAATGGATATTGAAAAGAAAGAATTTTTTAATTTTAAAAAAAAAAAGTTTTAATCTCTAGGCAAACATTAAAAAATTAACTGCAGCTCTGCTAACCATTGCTTCCCATGGGTGTAAATAATTTGTGTTACGGATGCTGTGTATGCAGATAAATCCGATGCTTTTAAATCTATCAGGAAGACAACTTTGAGAAAGAGAGCAATATGGGCAATGTAATAACAGTGGAGAAACGTACCCTTGTTATTGCTCAAGCTTAAGTGTATCAATGTTATGAACAGCAGAAAATCAAAACCTTTGAAAGTGAGTTCAAATTCTGATGATACATTTGATGGTAAACTTGATTTCTTTGTTCCGCTTTCTTGACAGGCTCTTCCAACAGTCACCACCCAGAAAGTCTTAATGAGAGGCACAGGACACACAGCCTCCAGTGAACTGGCCTCTAGCCAACAGACGCAAGGCTTTTGTGAGCCCAGACATTCACCTTTTTGATTTGACATAGGCAGGCAGAGCGGAGATGGTGCACCACACTGCTTGCTTCCAAGAAAAGTTTTGACGCTGCACGCATCAATGTGGGTGCTCACGTGCATGTGCACTAACGTTTGTGTACACACACACACACGCGCGCGCGCTTTATCCTTCATATTGGCATTGTTCCTTTTACACTGGGGCCCTTTGTGGTGAGCTGTGTTTACTTTGGATGGTAGAAAATGGAACAGGAAACATGAAGCCCCCATTAAGACTGTGGGCAGTTGCCTGTGGTGGGAAATCCCTGTCCTGCCGGTGGCAGAGGAGACAGGCTCCATTGCATTAGCACCAGCTGCTGACTTGTCCCTGCTTTAGCAACTGCCAAGGAGCGGGCCAGGGTGTTTGGAATAGCTTCAACCCTGTCGAGGCCACCTCTCCCAGCAGCAGCTGATGACATCTTCAAGCCCTCTCTTTGGCAGCAGGCATAGAAAGCTGTGCTCCTCTCCTTGCCCTCTCTGCCCCCCACAACACCGGCAAGCCTTCACCCTTCCCCTCTCCTCTCCTCCCCGCCACCATCCCGGGAGCTGCGAGACCCTGGCTAGGGCTGGGAGAAGAGGCAGATTCTGGGTCACAGGAATGGAGCTGGGCTGGAGAGGAGGCCCCACCAGGGCACAGCCTTAAGGGCGACAGAAAGAGATGCCTTTAACATGCATAACACTACCCACAGTTCCCAAACCACCTCTGCATAACTGACATTTTCCCCACACTGTTGAAAAACCTTGAGTTGCCTCTAGCCAGAGACATGACTTTCTGCTACGTGAAAGATGTTTTTGCAGGCATTTGAATCTTCCTTATGGCTTGTCCCGCAGCTGTGTGTTTTTCTCTTTTCTGTTAAGGATGATTCACCAAAGTGACTCGGGGTGGCTGAAATAATGGCTTAAGGTGGCACACCGTTTGCACATTCAACAAAAGCACTATGGGTGTGAGCTTTGCTTCTTCTCTGGTTGGTATAATAGAGAGAATACACTAAGTCTTGTTTTTAAATATATACATGTAGATGTAGCCATAAGTAAGCTCTTCTGACTTTAGTGGATGAGGAAAGCGCTTGGTAATTTACAGTATCAAACGAGTTTGAGTTTTTGTTCTTGAAATATAGTTTGATAGTCTTAAGACATCATGGGAGTTTTGATCTACATTAACCCCTTGGGAGCTGCTATAGAACTTCTGTTTAGTTGGATTTTTGTACATAGTCTTTTATTGAAATAGCTTAGTGAATTTTTATACACACCCCTGCCCCCCTCTAGTAAGACAAAGACTCTGAGGTTCAAGTGGTTAAAAAAATATGCAATATATTTTGGTAAACATACAAAAAAAAGGGAAGAGGAAAATATTTCTATATAGCTCCGAACAAGACAAGATACTGCAAATGGATAGAAAATAATCAACATTTCCTTTCTCACTTCATTGCATAGTTGATGAAGTGACCAAATGTTTCTTGACTGTGCTTTCTGAGAGACAAAATTTCTTCCCTTATGTATATTTGTGCTCTACGCAGAAAGTGTTGAAAGACTACCACAAGATCACTAGGGATAAAAACTATCACCTTCAGAAGACACAGGCTTTAAGTGCATTGACCCAGTTTTCCAAATACTTGTGACTGGCTATAATGTTATAAATTGCTTTACTGGAGCCAACAGGCTAGTTCTCGTGATGACAGAGCACATCTAACATCAGGTATTCAAATCAACAATGTCTACATTCACTGAAAATATAAAAAACACCTTAATATTTGATCTAGATATGAACAGACTGCCATCTCTTAAAAAAAATAAAAGTAAAAAGGAAGAATCAAAAGTCTGTAAGACATGTTACAGCATCTCAGAAAGAGGAACTACTGAAACTGTAACCATTGTGCTGCCTGACAATACTGACGTTTCTAAAAGCTCAGCCAAAGCTCATTTCCGTACAAGTGGTGCCACTGAAGTCCAACAAGATTTCTTATGAGAATGGACATTCATTCCACAACATTACTATATACAGGCAAAATCCACAGATGTGGAGTTTACTGGTTATGAAGCTTCATTGCTTGCTGCAGTTTATAACTTTTTAATGATCACTAGAAAATATTTTAACATTGTAGAGGTAAGATTATAATGCAAATTCTTTTTATGCTACAGCCACCATACGAAACAGTCCTGTGTCTGATGCAACTTAAAATATCTTATAAGCTTCATATGGTGTCAATGCATTACAATACCTAAAAATAAAACCTGTTCTACTTCTTCCATCAAACTATTTTGTCAAAGGGCAAAACCATTAACCAAACAATGTAACTGAAGCAGTGATTCCTCTCAGCTGTGTAAGGACCTGTCTAGAACCGCATGCCAAGCGGATGCAAGAGTAGTACAAACTTGACTTACCACCCTTTTCCTTGCTACTCTGCAATACAAATGGACTGAGAAAACCTACCTTATTCCTGAGTTCATACAACATAAAGAGGCAAAATATTTAATCTCATATGCAGCATCAGCTCCTCTATACAAGTGAAGAAAAAAGTTTGTGTAGCACCAACAGAGAGCAGAAATTGTGAGAAGGTCTGCATGGAAATGTCATGCTGTTCTTGAGCGCTCTCCCTCTTTGGAAATGTTAAACTTAGGACAACTTCTACCTGCTGCACTAAATTATCCAAGCAATGCAGTCTCTAATGAAAAGCAGGTAGAGTCTCTAAAAGCAGTCATCCTCAGTCAAGCTTCTTTTTCCAGTGAATTCTAAGACTCTTTTTAAATAAATCACCTATTTGTTGCAGCGTCTTTTCAGAGAACCCAATTCTCAAGTTAAGAGCATTCCCAGCTTCCAGCAGACACTCTGCAGAGCAGTAGGCTTCCATTTTTTTCCAGCCATGCTCAAAAAATGTATGTCAAATTAGTACTGTTTGTCATCAGTCACCTTCTGAGTCCATCCATGGAGAGGTGGTGAATCACCTGGTTTATGGGTAAATAACCGTGTCCCTGTGAAGCAGAACCTGGAAATGCAGGTAAAGAATGAGTTACTTCATTGGATAAAGCTTAAGACAGGGAGACTGAAAAGGATTTGGAAATCTGAAAATCTGGATCAGACAGTGGAAGAGTGGTGAGAAAGTTTACTGCCCCTGTCTGGCCTCCAGAACTGCCTCTTACATGAAGATTGCATGATTTGCTGAAACCTTGTGCTTTGGCCGTTTCTGATATCCATACTGAATGACAGAGAACACTATCCTGGTGCTGCTGTTCTAGGTTCCCAGGACATCAGAGCTCAGCATTAGACTCAAGAGCAAGCTGGATGCAAGGCACAAAGTACAGCCGAGGATGTGATACAAGGTTAAGCTGATCTCAAACTACAATTAACAGCCCAATGGCTCTGGCAGCCAAAACTACAGAATCGCTGCAGAGAAAGAATGGATATAAAGAGAGCCAAGTACCAAACAGGGAAGCTCAAGTGGACTTTATTATAGTTATTAGAATGTACAGGGACATTAGTGCACTGGTTCTTATTTCATTTCTCAAATTCAACATAGGAGCAGTCAGACGCTGAAGTATTTGTACCAGCTCTTTGCACGTTTAGAATGTGTAATGTGGGATGTCTTTAAATAACTTTCTGAAATATCCTTGAAGAACAATGTAGTCAAAACCAGGCTAAATGATTTCTTCATAGACTGCTTAGTATTTCAAGGAAATGCTATAGATACCAAACATCTTTTATTAAAGAAGTGATTAAGAGGTGCTAACAGGGTGGTAGGATACAGATAACCAATTTTATCATCACCTTTACAGTCTTTAAAGTCCATTCTATTCCATGATCTGGAAACAGTCCTTGAAAACTTCATTATAACACTATTTCTTTATTACAAATATTTACATACTATATATTAGTACAACTTTTATTTCCACACTTTGACAATTCCATCCCTTGATGCAGTTACTATAAATCCTTGTGTGGTCTGGAAAGTTGCGATATCTGTGATAATATCATGATGTCCAACGGGGAGAGACTCTGGACCCTTCCGAGGGGTCTCATCAGTGGGACCCAGTTTTTGCTTGTTTTGAATTTCCTGTACAAAAAGAAAGTGAGAAATATTATTTACAGAAAGGTAAATATTTTCAAAGCGGAATTATCACACAAAGTTGTAAGAAGATCAAAAAACCAAAAAACCCCAAGATCTCCCCCCCTTTGATGGTTTTCTTAGGATTACTCCTTGGTTCATTTCTTTTAATCACACACAATGTAAGTCTTAAACTGAACTGATATTACAGCTCTCTGATTATGAGAAATAAAACATTCTTTCTCTATTTCTTTCAACGACACTAACTACTAAGATTTGATAGTCCGGGGGGGGGGAGGGGGGGAAGTGCTACAGCGACACTTACATCTTAGCTTCCCAAGGGTTTTATAAAAACTGGTTTAATAGCATGAATATAATTAAGAATTTCACATGAAACACTCAAAAATCATAGTGCATAGACAGACCCTCACTGACTTGGATGTTTGTTTTTTTTTTAAACAGTCACCTTTGAAGTATCATTCATTCAATTGCACTGAAACAAAACACTGTGCTATTCAACACCTAGCAACGCTGCCCATTCCAAAAGTCACTCTGAAGGATGTAATAAAAACTGCAGCGTTCTGCTGCCATGTTACTTTGGTCCCAATACATCTCACAATGCCTTGCTAAGATCCTACACCAAAGACATTCCAAAGACTGATCAAAATCAAGTGTTAAGACACTAGATTTCAGTATCTCAGAAGAAACATGACTCTGGCTTCTGCATGTAAGTATTATTTGGTAAGCCTAATTCTGTCAAAAACAACTGTTTTATTTTTTTTCAAAATAACTTCTTCCTAACTGCCTGAAAATGCAATGCTGACACCATCCATAAAAGGTAAGAGTGAGATAGTTATAATTAAATCCATCATGCAATTAATATAACCCACGGTGCCACCCAAAAGGCAGGCAGAATAGGTGTCTATCAAACAAAGCAAAATACCTGAACCACCTCCGTGCCCTCAATTATCTTCCTGTAGTAGGAAACAGATGGGCAATTAGAACTTCCGGCAACAACATATGATCTCTCGGGGTAGGCTAGATCCCAAAACCTAAATGCAAAGAAAAAAAAAAAATCAAGTTGAGATGTTCAATTTTGTCAGCTTAATACAGCTGTTGAAAAGCTGTCTTGCTCTTATGATGAAAATGAGTGGGCACAAATGCTATACGCTTTCTACACTTAGTGGAAGACAGTGATGCAGAGAAATCAACGTTCATATCAAGCTTACACGAGTTACCGTTTTGTTTCACGCAGCCTTTACAGAAGGGTACATACTGTGTTTCAGAGAAGCACCAAGTTTTGCACTACTTTTGCTGAGAACAATTCTCTCAGCTCACTGATGCCTACTAATGAACACATCTTCAGCATTATTGTTTTGAATTCTTGGAGGTTACTTATGCAATGCTTAGCAAAATTTAGTATACCAGCAGGGGTTGAGGGGAAGGTTTCAAACAAAAATGTTGTTGGTTTTATTACCTTATTTTCATGTCTGAGCCTGCTGTCAGTAATATGGGATTACCAGATGCTGGACTACAGTATATTCCATGGATGCTATGAGGAGAAGGCTAGCAGGGAAAAGGGATATGTAAAAATAAATTATCACCAATAGCTGTTGCCATGCTTCACAAAGGGAATGCATTCTTTACCACATTCATCCCTCCATCCAATTTCCAAATGTTTCTGACAAATGCCAAGTTATTTTGTTAACAGACCACATCTTAATATATTAAGGTAAATTGCTTCCTTTTATTCCTTATGTTTCATAGAGCGATGCAACAGATTTAACTCTGCATAATGCTTTTTTGGAATCTTGGAAATTACATTCTCAATGATGGCAAATGAGAAAGATTGTTTCTAACACAATCAGGCAAGCGAATCATGCTGAAAAGCATGTGGGTGCTCAAATTTTTATGCTATGAAGGCATTAAGGGACAGACATGTAACAGAAATCTAACTTGAATCACAAGTACCCTGTGTGCAAAGTGTGTGACCAAAATGAATTCAGCCTGCAATCTTTGTAGCATGTACAAATTCAAGTTTAGGTAGATTCCAGATCAGCATTTAGAACATTTATAGAAGCAGCTGTGGTTATTTTTGTGTATGTATTTGTGTTTTAAGAAAGATATGCCAGATTGTTCCTTCCCCAATTAACTCCTTGAAGAAGAGCAACTTCATGCTTTAAACTAGCAGTTAAGTGTAGTAGTGGCATTATGTTACAGAAAGAATGTGCAAAAGAGCAGATGCTTACAGAAGTATGCACAATCCCAGAAACGGCAAGTAAAAGTAAGTACAAGATGCCACACTGTGAATTTTGGCTTTGCTGTAATCTTTACAGGCTTGACTGGCTCACAGGTTTTCTAAGAACATGACTGGATATAGCAAGTAAGTGTTACAAGTACATTCCACAGATAGTGGAAGATACCAATGAGGATTCAGGTTACACTGCTGTTTAACAAAGGGGATTTAATTTTGACAGCAAAACAACTATGGTGCCAAAATAAATCCCAGGGCAAGTCCCTGGTGCCAAACTGGCAAGGCCACAGAGACAGGTAACTGTACTGACACATAGCATGGAGTCTGAGGTTGTTCTAGCCCTGGCTACAAAACAGAAACAGGAAAAGAAAAAGACCAGACCTGCAGTTCTGAAAGAGGAGGCGCACTGCTGGCCCACAAAGTGAAGCGTCGATCGCCAGTTTCCATATCCCACATGGAGACTTCATTATTGCCTTGAACAGCTACAGGAAAGATATTGCCAATGCAAAAAAATATAAAACAGGTTGGCTGGCTCTCACTACCTGCGTTCTACTGACATTATACAGAGGGTATGACATAGAGACACTCTTCACTTGCTCTCTGCAGCATTTGTTAGTCTTGCTTTAGCAGCAAAGCTGTGTTTGTGGTTTTACTGTTTAGTAGAAGCTTGACTAGAGTTAAAGTGCCTCATTTAAGAGGGTTTAAATGAAAACTGCTTTAATCTCCAACCCTTTTTAAAAGGTATTAAAACCTCAGTTCCCTCCCCAGATAACTTCTTATCCTTCTTTGAGAAGGATGGATGGTCTGCTCAGTATGG